TCGTTCCCGAGAAAAATATGAAAGCAGCCGATGGCTGTTGGCCGTACAACTTCCCAAAATGTGCTCATCACCAAAAAGAATCCGACTACAAACCTTGTGCGAAAGTGAGGGGGACAGCAACGACATGTGTTCTGAGACTCTATCTTATAAGGAAATATACGACACACCTTCGTGCTCGAGCAGCTGCCCCAATGCGAAGTATGGGACTGCTTTCGACAAGTAACGAAGGATTGAAAGTTGTGTGTCGCGACTCGTCGTCTCAAGGGATCGTCACTACACTGAAAGTCTTTTCCCGAGTCGGTTCGGGAGCACAAGCAGCATCAAGAAGGAGATCATGACCAATGGGCCAGTACGGGCTGTTCCTGCATTTCCGAGCATTCTTTATATCTACCACATTCTTCCTCAGACTTCAGCTGCATTCTCTGTGTATGAAGACTTCTTGTCCTACAAGTCAGGCGTCTACAAGCATACAAGTGGCGGATTCCTTGGGGGCCATGCTGTTGAGATCATCGGCTGGGGTACCGAGAAGGGCGTTGATTACTGGCTGGTTATGAACTCCTGGAATGAAGAGTGGGGTGACCACGGCACCTTCAAGATAGTCCAAGGGGACTGCGGTATAGACGATATGATCCTTGCGGGGACTCCAGCCATAAATTGAGAGGAGTCACTGACGTCTCTAAGTGTAGGGCTTTATCTTCTCCAAGGCTTCGAGTCAGATTGCTGGCTCTGCCAACAGTTCAGGAGCCAGCGACACAGCTCAAGAAAATGTTTCACCTACCCAATATTCGACTTCTTTTTCTTTTCCACTCTCCAGAGGACTTCTTCTCTCTGCGACTGAGTGGCTGATTTCACGACTCAATAAAATATGACCCGACTCGTGTTCATGAACGGGGCTGGGTCGTACCATTATTCAAATTGGGTAACCCAATGGGAGTATTCAGGGCATGATACACTATGAGTCTCACAAAAACTTCGTGTGACGTCCCCCACTATACCATCGTGTCGTAAAATCATAG